TTCAAAAATACAAATCTAAAATTACATACAAAGTCATCAGATGATGGACTCAGCTGTTGTAGTTGTTGTATAATGTCTTCAGCCTGCTTTTCAAACTCATCAGCAATGTAAGCTAAGGAGTCTGTATAAAAACCATGTTTCACATGTTCTTCTCTTAATTTGATACTTGGCTCATCTAAAGCATCTGTGAAAATTCAATAACAAAAAATAACACTTGAATTGATGTACCAACTACCGGTAACCTGATAGCAAAGGGTTACCTGCTTCTAGACAAAATTAAACACTGACGTATGTCTGTAACAGACATGCAACAGGCATGGTAATTAGTGAAAGTAAAAATAGGTGGGCCATAACTCAGCCCCTACCTGAAAAAAAAAAAAGAAAAAAAGAAAAAGAAGAAGAAGAAGAATAAGAATAAGAAGCAACAGAATAGTTGAAGAAGTCATTATCCAGCTTACAATCAACTAACATAACAATGACAGATGACATTTTTGCTTAATAGGAGAGTTAGCCAACATCTGTATGTTTGTACCCAGAGACTCTCTTTTGCCATGCACATGCCAAATAAAACCAAAAAACTAAACTGCTATTATAAACAGTATGTAACTTCCTTTACCTGTTATTTTGACCTGAATCAAGTCTAGTAAGATTATCCTGAAAAAGGTTAAAACAACAGTTATCAATCAAAAATACTTTTGTGATGCAAAAATTAGGAGTAAAAGTTTTTTTAGTTGGCTGTAACATTTCAACCAAAATTAATTTTGAATGTCTGCTAACATTTGCTTATCCTTATGGACTGTTACTAACTAAACAGTAAGAAAAAAAAATGCTTGCATTTCTCTTTTGCACACAATTTGAGCCATGAGACAACTCTTTTATGTCAGACGGCTTCAGTAAATGTGCTGCTGTTACGATAAGAACGAGGAAAAGTCTTTAATCATAGAAGGATGACTGTGCCAACCATTTCAGAGAGCTGTTAATTCAGTTGTGTAACATGTCTCTTTGTATCTAGATACATTCTGTTTCAAAACATAAAGAATTATTAAGTAGATTAAAGCAACCACTGGTTGGTGTAGAAAAATATGATCTTACCTAGCTAATGGATCAAATTCAATTCCTTTGTATATCTCAGGCAATAGTGCATTGCAGATCAAATAATCTAATATAAAATACCTGAAACAAACAAATCAAAAACGTAATCAAAAGACACAGATGCAGCTCATGATATGGAATGAAGAGTTGTAAATCAGCCATGAGACATACGAACCCCCATTCAAGTTGAGACTTTTCAGCACACAAATGTATAACATGGGTGATCATCTTGAGTCCATCATGAGCACTTACTAGCTGAATCCTGTCATTGATTGAATATTAAAATACAATAATGAAAGACAAATCAAGTTTAAATAATTTCTTATTTATTTAAAAATGAAAACAACAGTTCTTGCTCCTAAGTTACCTGTGTTGCTCATTCAAGCAGTTGTAAATAATCATGCACAAGCAGTCCTGTATGTTGTGATTAACTGAAGACAGCACACTCCTGTGAGGTATATACATACAAATCAGCTAAAAACAAGGCCTTGAAATTCTTTGGTGGGGCAATTTGCAACAACTCATGAGTTTGAATCTTAAAGTTACAGATAAACATATTAGGATACTTACAAGAAGAAGTTTGGGAAGCACATATTCCATACAAACTGCTGAGTAGCATCATTTTTCACCACTGTGTTTCCCAGAAGCTGAAGACTACTCTTTACAGCATCATTAACTGCATCTGATGCTAGAAGACATTTTAAGCAAAAGTACCGGATTTTAGCTGTAAATACATTCTCTGTCACAATGGTAACCAAACATACCCTACATATATAAGGCCCAATAGTAAGCAACTCTCACAAGTTGGTAAGATGGGTAAGTCTTACATGAAAATAAAAATTTTCTTCAATCAATAAATTATCATTCAGAAAAAACCAACAATTGTTTTATATGGTTCACCTCTTTCATTCTCTTGGAACTTTGGTTTTAGCAAAAGCACATTTGTATTAAGTACTTCCTCGATAACTCCTAACGATCTGTCAATAAAATCATATATCATGCACTTAGATGTTTTTCTGGGTAACGAACTTGACCTCTGTGAAAGAAACAAATGATAAAAAAAACTAGCAGGATGTACTTACACTATACTGTTCTGATTCTTGGGTGTTGCCGCACAGCAGTTTCTCAGGAATCTAAAAGCTTCTGCTGAAGCTCTAAGGCAAAGGATCAGCTGATTTTCTTCTAATTCACCTGTTTGTGCACACATGCTATTTTTACAGGCCGTTATAATATCTTTCATCTGCAAAATATTCGTCTCTGATACCATACATCTATGACATGCAAACCATGAAAAAGTAAGAAATATGATATATGTTATAATATTGAACTCAGATCTTCGAATCTGTCGTTTTGATTTGAAGGTGCTTTCAAGCCCAAGCCGTAAGTATCAGAGTATCAAGAATTTCGACGTTATAAGAAAATCACAGAGCACGACAAATTGCGCGACAGACGGACTTTTGATCATACCTGTTTTCTTCAGCCACCGCCCATGTCTTAAGTCTTTCCAACGTAGCTTTAACCTCAGTCCACGAATTTTTTGAGTAATTTAGTTTTCTCGTCAATGCTCCCAGTTCTGAAAGTACGTTATCTCCGTCCGCCATGTTGAAAGTTGAAAAGAAGTACGTGGTATAACAGTAGCATAATGGTCTGCTCAGAACAAGCACTCAGATAGGTCTGCATAGGCATGCAAGCAAATCTATCAGAGTTTGAAATGTTTACCCTGGAGTTAACTTTTCAGTTTTCAAAACCAGTTGACTCTAAATCCTAATCATCTCAGACTGCTCTGATTCTATAGCCAGTCCCAGATCGAGGGGAGACTTGCATTGAATGCGGTTTTCACCGCTACAAAAACAAGTCTTTGAAGTTGTAGAGTACTCATAGGTCAAGTGATTACTCTCATTCCTCTAATTCAACTGTCTTTTATTCAATAATCAAGATAATATATTTAGCGTACAATACTCGAAATCAGTTATTTTGCTTCCACTTGGGAGAGTAGATTTACGGCACGATTGGAAGTTCCTTACAGTAGTGACGCTATGTGACCCTATGTAACGCAATACACTACATAAGTAATATTCTTCTGAGAGTCGAAGGAGAGTGCAAAGATGTTTGCAAGGTAAAAACGGCTACAGACATGAGTTTTTTTTTTCTTACACGGCTCAGCTTACAAACTGACATAAAATTGTTCGCTTTAACCAGCATCTCGTGTAGTAAGGCAAAATCTTATAACAACTAAAGTAACTCAACTTGAAAAATTATTTAAAATCTAGGCACTCATGATATTAATTGTGAATAAAATTTATTTGTGTAGATCGCAAACTTTGGAAGTAGGTTACAGACGAATAAGTCCAAGAATGAATAAATGAAAAAGCTGATTGGTTAGAGGTAGGCACTTAAACCGGCTGCGCGGTCGCTACTCCCTTAAAAAAGTGCTTCTCTTCCTTAACTAAACGAGTACACTGTACATTATTTTAATTTATACAGAGTTTGACTCCAGCGTTTGTATCTGGAGGGGTCTTATATGAATCAGTCGAACATGACGAGTTCCTTCCAACTTGAATTCGACGTCATCTGACTCAATGCTTTGGGTCTTCTTTGTAATTACGCATGCCTTAAAAATGGAGTACGCTGACTTGAATAGCACAAGCCTATAGCCCGCGTCACATAATGGGACCAGAGAAGAGAATGAGGACTGGAAGAAAATCAGCCACGGAAGTAAAGGTCCTAACCCCTGGGAGGAGTGAACTGAAGTGAGCTGTAACGCCACTGAAAAATATGTAGGGAGCCAACTCAGCATGGCCACGCAAGATTTTAGCACAAGATAACGTGATAGAGATTGCCGTTGCTTAAGAGATGTGAAAGGAGGAAGAATTACTCGCGGGTTTTGGAAAACTCGTTTCCTCGGGAGTTTGTGGGAGATTCTTGACGAGATAGCGAACGGATCCCTTGGATTTGAAGGACGTCGGGTTTCCCATTCGGCCTCCTTCACTAAACTGTTGACAGGGTGTGCGAAGACATTCATTTTCTTTCCAGTGCCTCCATTCGCACCAGTTCCTGGAGTGGTCAAGCTTTTTCCGTCTAGGTTTCCCTGGCGGAGAAGAACTTCGAGTAAAAGATTCTCTTGGTGCAAACGAGATTGATACGAAGACTTCCTCGAAGCTAGAGGAGTTGCAGTAACAGACGTAACACCAGACCTTCCGCTTGACCGCCTAGACCAGTATGACCTGTTCGACCGGCTTGTGCCACGTGACTGACTTGATCTTGAGCTGGTGGCTGTTGTCATTTCAGGGTCGTTTATCTTCATCTCGCATATATGTCGCTCCCAGAGGAGTAGTACTGGGTACCACCGACGATGTCTCAACGCTTTGATAGCAAGAAAGATAGTTACGGAATGAAGAGCGAAAGAACACCCGAGATAGAGGATAGAATAGTTTGAGGGAGTTTGATCATAGTTGAACAGAATATGAGAACGTGACTGAGGGAGACCGTTGTAAGAACTCCAACCAACAATTGGTGGAAGGCTGAAAAGAAATCCCATTGACAAGTTCATGGCAAGGAAAACAACTACTCTTCTCTTAGCCTGACGTTTTCTAGTGAAAGGAAATTGAAGTTGTATTTTTTGACAAAACACAGCAAGAAAGAAAAGCACCAAAAGAGAAGTGATATGTACCCAGGAGCTCAGAAGGTTCAGGC